ATTTTATTATAAAAACTATCTACATTATTATCATATTTACTAAACCAAACACTTCCAGGAGAATATTTCTTGAAACTTTACACTTGAAGACTTCTAACCAGAAAGAATATTGGTTTTCTATTGTTGATTTCTCTCCCAAGACATATCTTTTGGAATTATAGCTTCACTTAACCAGTGGATAGTTTCAAGATCCCTTTCTCTAACTATTTTCAGAATAGATATCGATACTTTAACTTGTTACCAGATTGGGATAGGACCTAGACCTTGTTGCTACTTTCTGTCCTCAGGAAAGAATAGAGAAAAAAAAAAAATAAAAGAATAGAAACAAAAAAGATCACTTCTTTTCTTCTTACAACTTTAACTTGAAACTGTCCAACTCTTTCAGGAACCAATTACATCATCGGTTTGATGTTGCGTGACTGGGAACACATGAGGAGTACATATCATGTTTACTTTTTCTGTGGCTGATATGATCAACCAATCCGTGACCTTGACCAATCATCTTTTAGGAAATCTGGTGTGACCAAAAAATTCAGGATCAAACTGAGGTAGGCAAAATTCTCCAGAAAAATCAGAAAAAAGAAAGCACATTTGAGAAAAAAGAAGTGAGAAGCTAAAGAGATGATGGAAAGACTGGAGACTTCTTTATTCTTGTTTCTCTAGATTCTTGAATCTTTTAGAAGTCTTTGGAGAGTATTTTTTCTTATCAGTTTTCTTTCTATAAAGGTGTTCTTGCCATAGACCTTTTAGGTGGGTTTCTTGTATTTAGTCACAAAAATAAACAAGAAAAGTATTTTGAAAAAGAAAAATAAAACAAGTGGTAGCTTTTGCTTGCTTGGCAGATTAAAACCAGTATTGTTTTTAAGAAAAATATATAGACTTTATTATTATAAAGACAAATAATTTTTTGAGAACGTCTGTTTTTGGGGTTGGCAAAAGGATCAGCAGAAAGAGTTTTTTAAAAAATTGAATTAAGTAAAGTTATACAAATTGTCAAATAATATAAACTTTACTTATTTTTTGTTTTTTAGTTTTCTAGTTCTTCTTTAAAACATTCTTATAATAGTAATTAAGAAACAAAATTTTGTATTTTGTATAAGCAAGACATAGTTATATGTTGATCAATCAATAACAACTTTAAATATTTCATTAACATTTCTATATCAACTGATTTTTAATAATATTTTATTGTTTTATTTATTTTTTTCAACATATTATAACATCAAATAAAATAACCTAATATTTGAATTTTAATATTTTTTTTTATTTTTCGATTTATAAGCAAATTACCATATCATATAATGATTAAAAAAATAAAATAAAAAATAAAATAATATTAAAATAGAAGACTAATTCTTATCTAAAACATATATAAATTTTTTTTTACATTTAATTGTTAAATCTGTAATACAGTTTTGATTATATAATATTATACAAACTATATACTAAATTAAAATCATATATATATAAAGGAGAGTTAATAAAAAATTGTTTCTTTTTCCAAAGAAAAAAGAAATATCAAAATAGAAAAACAAAAGAACAATATAAATCAAAAAAATATTGTATTACATTAATTATAATAGATCAAGATCTATAAGTCTATAGCATAGTGATAAGTACTCCCCAGGTCAAATAATAAGATAATAGTTCAAATTCTCCAAGGGATTAACATGAAACCTCTGAAAAAATCAAAAAGGCAAAATTGACATCTTCTGATTATTATCATAAGATACCAAGTTCAATTTCAGATGAAGGCAATTGAACTATCTCAATATAATATCTGGCATCATAACCTAATATGCACTGTTTTCTATAAGAAGCCAATTCATATATTGATTCAATAGGCATTAGAATTATGATACCAAGAAAAATATAGCAGCATAACAATCATCCAGCAGTATTATGATGATCATTGTCAAGTTTGATGCTTTTTCTGTTTCTTATGTATAAAGCATACTTCCTTACTTTTTTAGTTTACAAGACTATAAAGAAACAATCCAGTTTTTCAAGTAATCAAATTAAAGCCACAAAGACTCCTTATTAAATATGGCTAGTCTACAGTTGATTATATTAGAATATGATTCTTCAAGTTTCTATTTATCGAATGGTGAGTAGAACTAAAAGATATATATCTTGATACATTAATATTCTACCTATATAATCAGAATTCTGGTGCTGATAATATAAGAAAAATAGAGGGCAATAAGTCAACCAGTAAATAAGATTAATTTGAATTTTAGGTAGCTCTACTTGGGAATTAATGGTGGAAAATTTGTAATATGAATTTGTATATATTAAACAAAGATAACTTCATAAAACAAGATATACATCAGTTGTTGAAAAAAAAATTATAGTTAATTATAATGAAATTAATGAATCAGATATTAGTGAAGAAAAACAAGGCAATAATGATAATAGTAAATAGGATGATACAGATGTAGAGAATATAAAAATTGAAACTAAAATAAATACAAAATTAAATGAACTGAACTTAATATAGAAAAATGATAATCAATTAAAAAAAACAAAGCAAGTAATAAGCAATATACCAAAGACAACTTATTATAATAAATATGATTCAAACAGCTTACTTACTAAAGTAATAGCTAGAATCAAAAAAATTATCAGTTTTTTTAATAATTGCAATGCTAAAGCTACAAACTTACAATAATCCAAGTTCAATAAAATAAAAAAAACTTTAAATGATTTGAAAAGTGAAATTATTAATTTATATATTTGTTAAATAAATCAAAAAACTCAAAAGTTAAAAAAACAGTTAGAAAAAAAAAATCAATTAACTATCACTAAGTATAATTATAAAAAAGCTATTTTTGAATATCTTACCTTGTTAAATAATAATAATGGATGTGAAAGAATTAATGCTAGTTTGAAAGCTATTCAAAAGATTTCCATAGATAATAAAGATGTGTAAAAAGCATGAAGAATTCAGTACCTTGTAAAGTATTAATTATTTTATAATAAGCATCTAGCATTTAGACATGAAAACATTAAAAAACAATTAGAATAATTAAGAACAAAGATATTGCAAAGAGATATTATATTTGAATTAGAAACCAAAATTTCAATATTACAATAGTTGCATTTAAAAAATTTATTAAAAATGAATTGTTTTTTAGTATTGAAATAATAAAGAAAAAAACAATTAACTGAATAACTACACTAAGATGATTTAAGATTTTTGATTATTCATTTTAACAATATTACCAAGAAATATATTACAATAGGTATAAAAGAGATGATATTATACAATATTAAAAAGAATTTTTAGAAAAAATATTTAAATATAAAAAGTTCATATCAAAATATAATGGTAAATTTATAGATTAGATATATTTCAACTTATTTGAAGAAAAAAAAAAAAGAATTTTTGTAGTCTATAATAAATATATTTTTTATTTAAATGATGGTAAATACAGAATATGAACTAAGGATAAAAAAATTCTACTAAGAAAAAAAGAAAATGGAAGATCAATTATAATTAGTGAATTTTTAATTGAAATTGGTAGATGTCTACATTTATAACAAGCCAATATAGAAAAATATTCTAATATATTTGAAGAAGCAATATATTACTTAAAACCTAGTATAAATAATAATGGTTATTGAACATTAGATTATTTTTTTGAGCAAATTAAAAATAAAACAATTTTTATTTTTGAGACATTATATTTTAATTATATGATTATATTTGCTTTTGATAATAGTTTCAATTATATTGTATTTAATAAGAATACCTTAGTTGTAAGCAAAATAAATTTAGGTCCAGATGGAAAGCAACCAATTATATATAATACTTACTTTGGATCAAATAATCAGTTACAATTGATGGTGTTTTCAACAATATATATAAATAATAAACTTTAGAACATGTTTAAAGGAATTAAACAAGTATTAATAGAACAAAGAAATGATTATCAGAAGAATTAATATTAAAATGTGAAAAATGTAAAGAAAAGATTAAGGATATTTCAAGATTTTCTTGTTATACATATCAAATAATATCTCTTGAGCCTGATTTTCTTGCTCAAAGAAGTGTAATTAAAAAATTAATTATAAATGTAAAACACAAATACATTTTTTTTTCAAAATTTGATTGTAAGTTAAATTTTATAGAGCAATATTAGAGGTCACCAAAAGATACTTGCATAACAATTATAATTATTCATAAAAGGAATTGTAAAAAAAAGTGCTTAAAAGTCTTGAGTCAGTATCTTTAATAAGTATTAGAAAGTTTTCAAGAAAGTATTGACATTATATGAATCTTTATAAAAAAAAACTTAATAAAAGATTAGTAGAGTATGCTGTAAAAAAGTATAAGTCTTACAAGAGAATTTTGAATGGTGTTCTTGAAAAATTAGATAAATTAAAAATACTCAAACCTTAAATCTTTGAAAATTTATAGAAATTTTTACGTGTCTTCTCTTCGGCCTAGACTTTAATAGGAATTGTGCTTATTCTTTTTCAGTAATGTAAAGATCGTCTACATATTAACCAATAAAATTAAAGCATGCGATTATACTTTTTTTTTTGATGCTCAAATAAAGCACGTGTGTATTAACTAATAAAATTAAAGAATGTGATCAAAAGTCACATGAACATCGTCATTTAAAATTCCGGACAGATTTATATTTTTGATGACTATAAATGTTACGAACCATACAAACAATAATATAATATTATTATTTATCTATACCATAAAATTCTGTAAATGAGCATCTTTTTTTTAATTAATATTAGTAATGTATAAATATTAATTTAAAAACAGAATATTTTAATATGTTTTAATAAAAGATAATTAATTTTCAAAAATCTTTATAATATTTACTTACATTATATGCGCATGTTTTTATAGGTTAATGTTTTATTTTAGATCTTTATTAATTAATTTTATTTTTTTTTTTTTATAAAAGCAAATTGCAGAGAGTTAAATGCAGTGCTAAATGAGACAAGTTTTTAAGGTCATGTGGAATAACATAAAATTATAAAAAGAATCTCCTCCGACTTGTTTCTAACTCGGGCTAAAATTTTCAAACAACAAGAATTAATCAAAGAGAGAATCATCCATTTTAACATATCGAGAATCGATATACTCGTACCTTAAACATCCACTCGTATTCGCCATCTTTATCAAATTTGCCTTTTTGCAACCATTTCAGCTTGAGCGTAAATCTGGGGCCCAGCTCTTGCAATTCGACTCGTTCCTTGTTCTTAAACACGTATCTGTGTATAATAATCATTATTCATGTGATCTCATGAAGGTGGATGAAAAAACGTAATTTTCACAAACCTATGTCGCCTAAAAAATATGAAATCACGTTGATTATGAAAGGTTGCGACCTGGCGTCCTTGGAATTCTGGAACTTGCGGAAACAACGCTTGAAACCACCGGCCGATGGTGTGACCGAGGCGCGTGTTAAAATTATTGAGAATTAACTCGGGTTTGTGCAATGAAGATCTTCCATGGCCCTTGGAGAATAACAAAACTACAGTCAATTGTCCAGTAAAAAAAATCAGGAAACCAAAGATTGCGTGTGAACTCGTGAACTATAAAATGTAATATAGATCCTAATTCCGTTCATCAACTTACTCTAATTTCGCGACTTAGTTTAATGCTTGTCAGTCTAAAATATGCAGTTGGACCATCGGGTAAATGGACCAAAGTTATGGCATCTTTAAAATTTAAATGGCAAGCGGTTAGTTCACCTTTCGTGTAAAATAATCAACATTTGGTATAGTTACATGGAACTTTCTTGTCCTCGTTTACAACAACGACATCCGTATAATCTCGATTCGTGCAATGTTCAATAATTTGCTTGATGGAAAATTTGGTATTTCTTTTTATAAATTGGCTATTGGGAAAAACGTCTATTAACTCTGATGCAAATTCATAGGCAGTCTTTGATGGCCTTTTGTTTGTTGTAATGAGCATCTTGGGTGACGTTCCCTGAAAGTATTTCGAAAATTCGTCGGACATTTCATCTTCGAGGACTTCGGAATCTTCGGGTTCAACCACTGTTTCATCAAATTCTCGGGTATTCTCAAGCGTTCGAGGAACATTTTTCGATAAGCGTTCCTAATTTTGGCGTCACATCAGCAAAAAATGCGTTTGAATTAAAGAATATTCCAGGTACTATAAATAACCTTTTTTTTCTCCGGATCTTCAGCCTCTTCCTTTCGACGTTTTACTCTTTGCTCGATCTTGTGGCGACTTTTTTCCTGTTTTTGTTTGGCATAAATTTCTTCCCGTTTAATCTTATTCTTTATCTGAGAGGGAAGTGTGGTGCTCATTTCAAAAAAAAAAAGTGTATGTCAAAAATCTAATCGAAAGAGTTGAATATAATTGGCTGTAATATTTTTAGATGAAGATCATGTTTTAGTTAACAAATAATCAAATGAACTGATTTAACTTTTTAAAATAAAATTATTTTTACCGTAATTATTTTACTATAATAAATTGATTTTTTAAAAGCTGCCTTGTTAAAAACAATCTTTAATAGTATTTAGGATAATTCGTTTTTGGAAAACTAACATGATTACAAGAAGATTGTTTTCGAATGCTCGATTTCTGGGTTATTAATTTAATTTTTTATAGTACAATTTATATATTAGAAGTTGGCAATGAAATGGTTTCAAAGTGAACCTATATATTTATTTCGATTCAACCAAATAACCGCTACTCTAGGTATTTCCCTCGTAAAGTTGACACAAGATTCTGTCTAAACGTTTTCACGACCACTTGAGCAAAACATAAATAATCTATTGTGTAGATGAAATGTCAATCTCAATATCCAGTAGAAAAAGGTATCGGTGATTTTGGTTTTGATCGTTCATTCCGCCTTACGGAAATATGTCGATATCGGGAACCATTCTCTACACTTATCCATTAATTCATTAGTGTTAGGAGACTCAAAAAATTTGAGTGTTTCGCATACGGAGATACAATTCTAGAAATAATTAAAAATTTTAAAATATGTTCGCGAAATATTTCTGTTTATCGAAAATAATCGAAAATAATACGCACTTGCAACGTTCTTGTTTTTTTGTATTCATCGTCGCACACTCTTAACAAAAGGTTGGTGGCATCTTGTTTCTTTTCGGAATCTATCAGATGCAGTGATTTGACGCCAACTAAAAGATGCGGTATAGAACCCTTGTTTCTTTCTATAAATTCTTCGTTGAATTTAATCAATGGTTTATCTCCGGGCACCAATACTGCAAGTTCTTCGGTGACAACTTGAGTTATCGTTTGGTGAAGTTCTCTGTTTGATGCCACTTTAAATAACCGAGTTAAGCTCGATGAACTTTTCTCAAATAAGCACATTTCAGGTTACCTTACCTTCCAGTTTGAATCTTATGACGTTGTTGTGCAGTGTCTCATTTTCTTTATCAATTTTGTGCGCTTGCAAGAGGCTTCGAAGCGCAAGCAAGTATTTCTCTGAAATAATTGTATGTCGATAAGTTACGAGATTAAATTCATATATACGCAATTATCATGAAAGGACGTAATGTACTCTTTCGGAAGTAAATTTCGAATCCCAACAGATGTGTTTCGATCCTTTTCGGTGATAGCTCTTGTAACGGCTGCAAAAATTTGAAGGCTTCGCCTAAGGGATCATCCGTCTGTGAAGAAAAAATTAAGTCTGATATTTCAGTTATTCCGGCCTATCATCTGGTTTCAACAAACGTTATGGAAGATGCAGTCGAACCTTGAGAAGTTTTTCACCATTAGGATCATCATCTTGCAATTTTTCAATCTTCTTTTTGATCGGATCGTCTTTAGCCTTTTCTATTGTGCAAGCATGATGTTTAATTTATCGAATAAATTTGAAAAGAATGTTTGACGCACAAAATACCTTTCCTTCCATCCTCCTCCTTCTGCTTCTTTAGTGCCTCTTTCCGTGCCTTATTTCGTGCCTTCTTTTTTTCTCCCTCGGTCATATTTTCTGAATTTTGATTGGCGCGTTTGAGATATTGATCACGTTCACACACACAATCAAATATTGGATTTTTCACCTACCGAAATCTTGCTCCTCGCCACCAAGAACGGCTGTGTCAGGGTTGTCGTATAATTTAACATATATCTAAGCCCTCCAACGTGTGAACATCATTAATAGAAAAAAGAGAGGTGAATTGGAGGTGACGGTTAATTACCTTGATGGCTTCCTGCGCGGCTCGGAAGTAATACGGATGCGAGCGCAATTGATCTTCCAGTCGCAACATACTATTATTAATCATGATAACGCAGGTTAACGCGAATCTTATGAAAAGGTCAATCCAAAGATCACGTGAAAGGTACCTCAAATATGCTCGGAGCGTAACCTTGCGCAAGCAATATGTATGAAAATCAAACTGATCATCGGTTATGTCCGAAAAATGCTGCAGTCGGAAAAATCATGATCCACATTTGAAGTTAGTGTTTACGCACGCACGCACGCACGAGACGCATACCAAAATTAAGCGTAAAGGAGGAGGGGAGGGTGAGTACCTTTTCGATCTGATGAAAACGTTTAAGGGCTTTGCCCAATCGGCTTTGCCTAACATAGCAATCCGCTTCCTCTAGGGAAAACCACATGCATTGCATGTCCACGAGGTCTGTTATAGGGTCAGGGGCGTCGCCCTTCAAGAAGGAAAATGTCAGAAAGCCTATTCGGAAAATTGAGAACACGCCGGTCGTGTAGGAAAACACAAACCCTGGTAAACAATCCGATCGTTTTCTCAGCCTCAACATCCTTGTCGTTTCGAAGCATGTACTTTGAACATTTCGAGTTAATAAATCTGTCTTGAAGATCTAATTCACGGGCTTCGTTCATCACTTTCATGGCTTCTGAAAGATCTCCACCGTGCTATCGTATAGCCAACATTTTAAATGGTTGATAAGAATTTTTTTGTAAATTTTGCATGACACCCAAAATAGCTGGAAAAAAATCGGACCTTTAAAATTCGGCCCTTAGTCATGTACAATTCTACTAACGTTGGCGTGTGCTCAATTGCTTCATTGATTAACTCGAGGGCCTTGACGGTGTCACGCTTGTAATCGTAGTGCTGGGAGAGCAGGTAAAGTGTCCACAGGTAGGCGGTGGGTGGCTCCTTTACGTCGTCGGTACTTTCGCTCTGGGTGAAGGTGCCATGTTTTTTTAGGCACTGACGGTAGCCCTCAACCAATTGTTCGATGATGATCTCTTTCTTGGGGTCCTCGTAGAGCTTTTTAAGATTAACAAATAGCGAGGGAACCCCTTTTCTGAGCGATGCGCGCATGTAATCGTCAACCGCGATCCGGAAACTATCCCCTTTAAATGAAAATCAAGATTTTAATACCATCATACACATGACGAGAAAGAAACGAGGAAATGAGAATCTTGAGCCGACCGACCGGTTGTGTGCCGCAACGGGAAGCACTTGATCGCATTCGACTTGGGATACTTTTGGGCCAGTTCTTTATACATGGTAACAATCTTTTCCTCTTGTTCAGAAGTCAAATCATCTGCACGGGGATAGTTCTAAACTTATCACAATTTTATAGAAACTCTTGTAGATGACATTTGACCAAAAGACATACATACGAGTTTTGATCCCCTTTGCCAACTGCAAACCCTCGTAATAACTATAACAATCAGGATTATTCTCAATCAATTCCTGGTAAGCATCCTCGGATTCTTTGAGTCTGTCGAGTTTCAATAGAAACTGAGCTGAGATCAAAGACTAAGATTAATAAACCCAAAACTTAACGGAATGGCATTCACAAGGACAATTGATAACTCGTACCCCTCTTTTCTTTCCAAGATCGACGGTCACAAATGCTGTCCTTGATGGACTCCAGGTGATCAAGTGCTGCCTGAATATTACCACTTTCTTCTATGATGAGATTGTGATATAGTAGCAACTCACTGTGCTCAAAATTCATGGGTCCGGGTTTTTCCTGTGGTTCACGGAAAGTCATTGGTGAATTGTTTCCCAATAGCAAATGCTAACTCATCATATATACCTTCAAGGTTCCTTCATACGCTTTCAGAACTTCTTCGGCTATCTCATAATTTTTAAGTAGGTGATAGGAGATTGCAAGTCCTATCCAGTATCTCTGATGATTCGACTTCAATTGTAAAAGACGATGACGCGATTCCTTGAATTTTCGAGAGTGTTCTGATTTCAGAAACGTTGATTCATTATGTAGATCAAGATAAAATAAACTTCGGCTTACGTTGAAAGCTTCGAAATTTCGCATTTGGATTTGGAGAAGGGAGTAATCTTGAAGGATTTGCATATTATCCTAGCAGAATTTAAAAATTGATAGATACATGTGTGTATGGTGCGTACTTTTTTTTTTTTTACAGCTAGGCCGACCGTCACCTTCGATACGGTGCAAGTCATTATTATACCTTGTCGATCTTCAGCGCATTAGTATAACATTTTAAGGCCTCCCCGTAGTTTTTGTCCGAACGATGTAACAATCCATACACATGCCAGCCTGTCCAGATGAGATTTTGTCTAAACATCAATTCTTCTTTTCTTACGTTGCATTTATTGAACGAATCATTAACATATAGTTACAAATGTGACTATTCAAATCGAATCGAAGACCCGTGCGTACGAATTCGCGGGCCTCTTCTTTCTTTTCCATATGATTAAGAAATAATCCCTTCATTGCCAACGTCTCTGAATTAACAACGGGAATTCAAAAGTTACCAAAAAATCGTGTTCAAGTGTCTTGACATACTATAAAGTACAACATTAAAGTCTGTCACAGCAAAATAAGTACCACCATGGTCGGGGAATTTTTTGAGTATCTGCTCAGCGGCTTTTAATCCTTTCTTATATTGTTTGAATTCATAATGTTTCTGACGGGAAGTTAATTTCGTGTAAATATCTTGAGTACGGGGACAAAGGCAAAAACAAGATAGACGAAGCCTACAAGAATCTGTTTAAAGAGAGCGGATTCCTTCTGTGGTAATTCCCTCATGACGAGTAATTTTGTCGTGTCAAAATTTACGAGCAAATCTGTATATTTTTTTTTTTTTTAAGACCTTAATTTTTATCAGCATTGGCAACTCATTCTATTGGTCGATGTTTTATCCGATTATAATCACGTGAACATCGCAATACTGCATATAGGTTATAAATTACTTTTTAAGGCGAAATATGGTTTTATAAATTTTTAGATCACAATTTTGTCAACAACATTATATAACTTTATTATTATTATTATTATTAATCTTTGTCCTCTTCCATGAAGTCTGGGTTTTTTCGAAGTAAAACGAAGCCTTCCAACACGTGAGACAAGGAGACATCTGTTTCGTTAAGTATGCTAAGGATGAAATAATTAAAGAAGCACGACTTAATTCATTGCAATAGAAAAAAGGATACATTCTTCCGTAGCCAATTCTGCACGCTCGGAGTGTGCCAACAACACCGGCGTTGAATGCGTCTGAAAACCTGTAATTGTTTTGGGTCGTCCTGCCTGTCCCACAACATCGACCGCCTAAATCACGTGTCCGTCAGAGTGTGTGTGAATCACGTGAAAAAATTGTACGTCGCAATAAAAGTTATTTGAAAAAATCTTACCTGACCCACGCGAACAGTAACAGGTAGACTTTTAAGATTTTCGTCGAGGGTAATTAAAAATCTGGGATACATCGCAGCGGTCAGATAATACAAGAACCAATGGTATTTTCCCAGTATGACTAAAACAAGGTGCTCGTTAATAAGAGAAGGTATAGTATAAAAACAACCGCGATCAAATATGATTATGATAGCTCACGTGTCTTGGTATCGGTAAACGCGACGAGGGTAGTCAACAGTCCAGCCATCGCGACCGGTGACATCAATTGTCGATCCGAATGGAACGGATTTATTGATATCGTACCCTTGCCCATGTGCAACAATCCCTGTGCGTTTGATTTATGATTAGTCCGGCTGACGATATTGAATCCCATAGTTGACACCCACTCAATTCAGTTTACCTGCGCAATTCGAACCATGAACAAGCAATTAGGCTCTTTGTGATAATACGAAGCCAGCTGCCTCAACAGTTGAGCCATCCTTGCGTTATTGGTCCCCGCCCCGACAAGGCCCATTGCAAATATCGCGTTAATGGCAACATCCGGATCATTATCATGAGAGTACTTGCTGAGTGTTTCCAATACGGTGAGGATTGGGTTGGAGGCGCAAAGCAGACCTAACGCCAAAGGGACGGCTTGACGAATGACAGGCTCACCATAATGCATCTGAATAATAAAAAGTTCACGCACATGACATCAACAACACCCGTAAGAATTTTACGTTTAACATGAACTCACCAAATGGTTAAACGTTCTTAACGACATTTCGGCACCGATATCCTCGCCTGTGGCTATCAAAGCAACTCCCAAAACGGCAAACGCTTGGTGGAGGTCATCCTCTTTCTCCTTGTCGAAGTGATCGTTGCAAATGTGTAGCATATTCTGTATTTTGAGCACGTTTCCGGTTCCTACGTAACAGGTGAATGCATTAATTGAATGAGAAACAGTGCGGGTCTAGGCGAGGTTTAGACAACGTACAAACACGAACCTGCATACGAGCAAATTTCTACCAAAACCCCGACTTGTTTGCTGATGGGATGTTCAATGGCTTTTAAGGTTTCCAAGGTTGCCTCAGCATCATCCTGCTTTCCTGTAAAAAATCACGTGAGCGGAAATCGAATTTACAGGGCCGTTACATTCGTGCAACTTACCAAGATAAAGAAGTGCCAAGCCCAATCCCATGAATCGACCCCATGTCTCCTTCAACTGGATATCGCTCCGTTCCATCATGGTCTGTAATATTGTACTCGTGATATCTCCGTTGCAACTTCCGACGAAAATCATCCCCAGAGACAGCGCAGCGAGCGAGGCTACATCCATATTCAATTCGATATCACTCACAAGTGGAAGTAGTAATTCTTGAATGTCCATCCGATTTGATCCGGCATACGCCAAGCCCAAGCTGATTTGAAAAATATTGGTCATGATACGAAAATCATTGTAGGGCCTTTTCCCATATGCATACACTCTGAAACCTCTTACCCAACTATGGCGCTAATTCTTGTGATGGGACTCGTCAATTTTTCAATGTGCTCGGAAAGTAATACGAAAGCCGGGTCGTCTTCATTTCGAACTCCCGTATTCATAAGCCCGAGAGCAAGAAGAGCACCAGCCTGATAATTACGAGATTATCAAATTCCGAAAAAGTTCAAATACATGTTGAATTTCAATTATGCGAATCCTACCTTAATGTTATCATCATCGGAATATAGGTACTTGTCGGGATGTGAAAGACTATCCAAGTCCCACAACATGATCATGCCGATCGATGCGGCAGCGCTCAACATTCCTAATTTATTGAAAGAAAAACATGAAGATAAATCACGAGAGAAATGCAGGTGCACATGAATGTGTATACGACATATTCACCGTGATCCTTGTTCTTGTAAATCCACTCATTCCCTTCTTTGACCGATATTAACTTGTCATTTATGAATCCGGCGTTGACAAATGCATTCACAAACGTGGATGCAAGATTTTGACGCGAAGAATCAATGCTGCCGCTTGTGAAACCGGGTCCTGTGGTTGAGAGTTTGTTAATTTTTTGGAGGGAAAATGCCTCGACATGTTTTAGGCAAACAGATCTTACGAATGTTTTCCAAATGGCTCTTGTAAATATCTTCGGGAATTTTTGGTTCAAGAACGTCTAATTCTTTGGCAAGAGCGATGAAATGCTTTGTCAGATTGGTGTTGTTCAATATTTCCTGAATTTCTTCATCTTCGATTGGCAGTGATATTTGTTGTCGTGCCAATAGAAAAGCAAGTTGTTTTTGCAAGAGCCTTTTGAAAAAAACAAAGGGTTAAAATTCAACGACATACACCACTCCAATAAAATTACATAATCCGAGACGAAGAAAACTTACGGATCAAGCTCGCCAGCCGCATTAAAGTCATCTCTTATTAAATCGTGATCCCCAAGGCGTATGGCTAATGTCACAGCTTCGGTAAATTTGTCTTGTAGTCGATAAATCTCGTGTGCCGTACGCAAGAAAGCAATGTCATCCGGAGGCGCCAATAAATTTACACAACTTTCGAATGCAAATTATTCATGTAAATTTTTTTCCGCGACACTGTTAAAAACGACAATAGGGTTGGCTATTTCATACCTGACCATGTACAAGCAAACGCGCGCGTAAGTGTCCTTATCCACGAATTGTGGTAGTTTGTCAATTGCCTCTAACTCGAGTAACAAATCAACAGCATCCGCTTCAGCGTTATGTTTCAAAAAGAACGGTACAATCTCCAATCCGAGTGCCATAAGATCATCGGAATTCATCTCGTTTTCTTGGCGAGAAGCATACTCCTGTCCAATTTCGGTTGAAAGATGCCTTCGATGCACATATGTAAAATCATGTGTGAGGACAATGAACCTCAACAATCTCGAGAAACAATCTCCTACCTGACATATTCATGCCCCCAAGAACCAGGATCCTCACGTGATCCCTTAAGTCTGAACTTCAAGGAATCCCGCTTCCCCTCGTCGTAAGTCATCGCCAGGACGGATAGAATGTCTGCCAGGAACAGCTGAAAACAAAGTGTACGTACACCAATGAATCTCAGATGCTTGAACGACGATGATTCGTGCATCGACAGGCACAAGTGACAACAAGTTACCTTGTTATCGGATGATGGCCAATTCTCATAAACCTCGGTCATGACGGCGTAATGCGGCCTTAGGAACTTTAACGGTTTCGGGACGGAGGTCATGGAACTGGTGGACGTTCGGATCAAGGTGCGGAGGCTTTCTAAAGCTGGTTTGTGAAGGTCGACATTTTCTTCCTGGGGAAAACCGGATGAAATCGGTCATTTTCACAAATCCACATGGTTTACCAAGTGAAATCGATACATCCGAACAGACTCTACCTTCAACCTTTCAACCAACATCTCCAATTCGTTTTTCAGCTGGAGGTCTTCTTCTGACTGCAAACGTGAAAGAATGATATCAATGCATATTCAGAGTATAGATATTGTCTCAGCAGTATATCGAGTTCCAAAAGACTTTTTCTTCGACGACGACCCGCGTCTTTGTTGTAACACGCGCTTTCGAGTTCCAGACACGTTTATAACTTCAAATAGAACCATCAATGCGGTGTGAAACTTAAAGCGTCGCCTTTGGAAGACCACTGGTACAAAAAGCCTACCAATTCTTCGACCTCGTCCTTTTTATCCTTTTCTTCATCTGTTTTGGTATTTTTGCCTTCTTTCGTTTTCGTCTTATCCTTTCCAGGAACGTCTTCGGGAGGTGTATCGGTTTTCATTGTCTCTCGAACCATCTTCAAAAGATAAAAATCGTCTAAAGTAAAAGCTAATTCGAGAGGTTTACGTACGCTTGTATGTGAGATGCATACGTAAGCTCGATTCATCTACGTTACACGGTGTCTACGTCATCAACTTGCATGATAAAATTTTGAATTTTTTGCAAATCCTTTTACTTCCTCTTCGCCTGTTGGCTTTAAAAAAAATTTTTTTAAGAAAAAGTAGCTGACGATGGTACGTTGAAAAGATGCTAGCGTAGTCAGGAACAATGCATCGATGAAGCCAAGGATGCTTCTCCGGTGGTTTGTGCTTCAGTTGTGACGAGATAATCTTAGAGATTTCCCGAGTGCAAAACTTGGGTCTCGCCTCCGTCACTTTCGCTCTGCCATCCGTCTGTATACCCTTTAGATGCAATGAACGATTGATCGATACCTAAAAATCAATCATCGCCCTTTAGTCGAATTCCGAGTTCGATCGATAAATAAGTTATTGACTCACTGAGAGTATGATGCCTCATGACTAACCGGTTCACGGATCCTCCTTCCTTTTTCTTGGACAGGCTCGCGGACCAAGGAAACATTTGAAACGGCTCAATGCACCGAAACACTGGATGCTGGATAAACTCACGGGAACTTATGTATGTGTCGGAAGGTTTTTGGTTTATAAAATATTTGTCAAAGATGACGAAGCAAATTTCTCATGATTATCGCACATTCAGGCTCCCAGGCCTTCACCCGGTCCCCATAAGTTACGTGAGTGTCTACCACTCGTTATCTTCCTGAGAAACCGTCTCAAATATGCCCTTAACTCCAAGGAAGTTACAAACATTCTGATGCAACGCCTTGTGAAGGTCGATCACAAAGTACGAACCGATAACACATTCCCTGCCGGCTTCATGGGTAAAATAAGTTTTTTTTTTTCAAAGTCTGTTTCCTGTTTTTCCCCCTTAACTTTTTTTTACAATTCATGCATCAAAGACGTCATCTCCATTGAAAGTATCGGTGAAAATTTCCGACTTATCTATGACACCAAAGGCCGATTTACAATTCACCGAATCACCACAGAAGAAGCCAAGTACAAGTTAGCAAAAGTCAAGAAGATGCAAGTAGGCGCCAAGAAGGTTCCATATATTGTGACTCACGACGGTCGCACAATTCGTTATCCTGATCCTCTCATCAAAATTAACGACACGATTAAAATTGATCTTGAGACTGGCAAAATTACAGACTTCATCAAGTTCGAAGGTAAATATTTTCTTGATGTGTTTTCGTCACATATACCGAGAAACATGATAATAATTATTTTGTATTTTCAGCCGGGAACATCGTTATGGTCACCGGTGGACGCAACATGGTAAAATAATAATTATAATTATATAACATTAACATGCTCGGTGCTTCTTGTCGATCCAAGTCGAGACAAACTCATGCGTTATTTATTCGTCATTATTAGGGACGTGTTGGTACAATCACTCATCGGGAACGACATCCTGGCGGTTTCGGTGAGTATCTTTGATAACATGCGACTTTCAAAAACTATGTCACACGGTCAACGATAACAATCGAATTTATACCATTTAGATATTGTTCATGTTAAGGATTCTCGTGAAAGGCAATTTGCCACTCGTCTCACTAATATCTTTATGATTGGTCAGGGCAACAAACCTTGGATTTCATTACCTAAGGGCAAGGGAGTCAAGCTCACCATTGCCGAAGAGCGTGACAGGTACGCGTCCCGAATATTTGAGTGGTACATCGTGACGAAAAGATTCCTTCTTTTTAATCATCAATTCCTCCATGTGCAGACGCCGTGAGAAGCATCATGAATAATTCTAAGGGTAATGAACAATGTCGTAAGAATGATTTGAAAGTAATAAAGGTCACTTCCCATCCCGGAAGAGCCGTTGGCAACCGTAAAAAAAATATATCTAGTTTTGCTTTGCTTGAATGTTTTGTTTTCTTTTTCTATTGCAGAAAGTGGTTATATATTAACAGGTGTAGGTTATTGATTTCGTTATACCAGTAAGCAACAACTCATTGTTATTTTTTTTTTTTTTTTTTTTTTAAAAAAAAAAAAAAAAAAAAGGTTTGACGTTTAATAAAAAAAATATTTAAATTACTTTATCATGAGAATCTCGATCTTTATTTCTAGATGTTCCGGGGAGAAATGATGCCCATGTGTTTAAAAAAGGAAGAGGAAAGCGGCAATTTACAATAGAATTTATGATACAATATGGAAAAGAGAGATGCGTAGAAAAGAAAGAAATAAAATAAAATAAGGAAAATGTATAATGTTCTTTAATAAGGACATGAATTTCACATCACTTTAGTACTCCAAGCATTAAAATTATTCTAAATTGGAAGTCGTAAAGAGTAAATGAAATAAATGCTATCATCGTTAATCTTCTTCGTCATCCTCATCCTCCTCAGACGTCACATAACCCTCCATGTCTTCTTCAATGTCCTCGTCTTCATCCGACGCATACCAGAAGTTTTCGTCCTGTTCGTCTTCGTTTGGACGTTTTTGGACAACAAAGTCGTCGGCTGCGCGAAAAAAATCATAAATAAAGTATCTCGAGATCGCTCAAAGTAAAGATCAAATGAACAAATGCTTACTGCTAGTTGGTATCTTCAACCCTTCGGGAATGTCTTTCTTGGATGCCTCAACTTGAGCTACCATCAAATAAAAAAAACATTAATCGCAAGAACTCGGTCGAAAACTCATACGCACCGGTTTCCCATATACTCACATCGAACAATCGAATTATAGGATTCCCGGTCCTTGCGATACATAACCTGTAGACGAAAAGGGTTACTTAATTTTCATGAAACAAATCATGATAACCGTTAGCACGAAAGACTTACGCCGGCGTCCTAGAAGATATGCATCCATTCAATTAGTTGAATGACTTATTGGAGAAATGAACATGTCGATGAATACATACCACATTGGCAGGACTGGAACAATTTGGGTCGCCCATAAGACTAACAATGCTAATTAAGATGCCTACATGGAATAAAAAAATTCATGTGCAAAATCAGTGACCCTTATCACATTAAAGTTAATCACATGCAAGAAGAAGACAGCGAGACAAACTTTCGACGCTTTGGGTGGGATTCCAACGTTCCTTTAGAATTCACAGAAAAAATTGGTAAATTCGTTTAGGATGCGAACGATAACAACACTTCAGCTCACCTCTGCCGTCTCACCGCTAGTGGGATCATCACCAGGAGGATGAAGAATGGATATGCAAAGTCTTCCGTCTATGTAAACTGTTTGAAGCAGATTTTATGTAAGATCAATGGCAAACATATTTCGTCGAATTTTTCCTCATACCGTTGGGGTGATAGAATTCGTTGTTGAATTTGAAGGTTGGCGGATTAAAGGGATAGTCATTTGGAAATTTGAGTGTAGCCTAATAGGGTTTCATTTAGCAAATTAAATTGTTTGTCTATCTCTTCTCTTATAACATTGTCACGTGATTAGTCGCACCTTGAAATAGCCCCCTTCATAAATCGTATTTGGAGCACCGATGATACCTACATCCCTAATAAGAGACAAGAAAATTTTAGGAATAATCAAAGGAAAAAAAAAAAACACTGGTGGAAGAGTGATGGGAGTTGACATAAGCTTGTTCGCTTACCACTCGAACACGTTGTCATCTTGCAAAGCGACGGTGAATCCAGGTACAGGATTGCTCGTAAGTTCTGTTGAGTAAAGCATATTGAGAATCACCGAGATTGAGAACCGAATCGTGAACAATTGAATCTTTAATGTGGCATGACGTAAAGTGCAACATCTATGAGTCAAACTTGCCTTTGAACTGTTTCAACAAGATGTTCGCAGCGCTAGACATCGTTGTCAAACTATGGAGTATAAGCGGCGACGGCGGCAAAAAAATAGAAAAATTCTGATAATACTTGGGTGAAAGAAGCAAAAGTAAAAAAAAAAAAAGGATTTGATAGTCAATTTCTAAGAAGAGGTCAATGAAGAAGTCAAAATAACGAATCCTTTTTTTATTTATTACCTTGACCAGCAACCAATAACACGTGATATTGTGGCACGAATCGCCAATATCTCCTCTCTCTGCGTTGTCGTTTTAAGTACAAATTACTCCGGTGTACCCAAAAAAATTAAAAAAAGTTCGCAAGCAATTCATGCAACGATCCTGCCTAAAAAGAATCAGATAAGTGTGCGGTTCTTTGTTCCATCACTCTATCAAGCAAAAAGTTTTCCATCGTTATAACCATTATATCGTTACGGATTACCATCACAAATGCAACCATTCTTTATCTAATAAATGACTTCAATCAGGAAGCATCTGCCTAATATGGTTATGTGACAACGCTCTCGCTGCGAACAACGGGTACGCACATATAACAATATATGGTAATACGTTGATTTTTTTTAATTCGTCTCGCATTACATCATGCCTTCATACAAAGACAACATGGTAATTTCGCGCACAGCACAGCATTCACTGGTGCATTTCGGTCACGTTACCAAATTTTGAGCACATGCACTAATTGGTTAGTTAATCAAGTAAAGATCGACCTCACGTGTGATAATTTATCGTAAATAATAAACGATTACAGTACAATGGTCTCTGAATAAAATTTGATTTCATTGGTCAATCGCGTATAATCGCATCTGAGATTATCATGGCGCACACGAGCATATAAAGTTGGTGTTGTGGATTTTCGTTGATCTATAAGCAACCAAAGAATGTCTGTCAAAGTCGACGGCTTTAAATCATCCACTTTCTTCGAACTGTTAAATGTCAGCTTCTCTAGTAATGAAGCAAAGAGAAAGGAGAACATCAAGAAGGTGGGTGATCTTTCAACAAAACTCACTCGATGTTTCCTCGGCATCCACCCATTCATAACCGTTTGTTCTATTAGGCAAATGCGATCTATGAATTTAATGTAAAGAATGAAGAAGGAAAGACACAAGTCTGGACCATGGAGTTGAAAAAGGAAGGCGTCATTTGTGCTGGCAAAGGTTCCGCGAAACCTGATATCACCATCGACCTGGCAGATGAGACTTTCGTTCAGTTGGCCTCAGGAAAACTTAACGGTAATTAGCGTAAAAGATGCTTCTACACTCAAGGTGTCTATCGCCTAATTAACTCATGTTCTTGTGTCAATGATGTCTGTTTTTTCTCAACCAGGTCAAAAAGCTTTTATGTCTGGAAAGATTAAGGTCAAGGGCAACATGATGTTGGCCACGAAATTGGATGGCATATTGAGCAGCATTTCCAAGGCAAAATTGTGATTTTGGGACTCGCTCCCAAGCGAATAATTTATAATTTATAATTTTCTTTTTCTTATCATATACTGTAAATGAAGTTTAATTGATAGCCTAATAAAAATGAAGAAATATTTAAAACATCTGAAACTAAAAGATTTCCCTTGTAACATTATTAATGCGTGTTCAATTCTCTGCATGAATGATTTTTTGCATAATGTCAAAAATTTGACAATTCTTCGTACTCCATCAACAAGGCATCCCTACCTACTTCGTAATAATCGATTACCTGTTCTACGACCTTGAATCCAACCTTTCGGTACAAACTCACGGCACCCTCCCGTGTTATGTCCACATGCAAATTTGCACTGCTCTTCTTGGGCACACCAGTTTTCTCGAATACCCATTTCAATAGCATTGTGGCCAATCCACTTCTACGATAAGACGGATGGACACACAATTTTAAAATTTTCGTCAGCGGCAAAGCTGTCGACGAAATGTGTGAATATATAAGATATCCCATAATTTTAACTTGGACTTTTTTGTTATAACTTTCCCGACGTTGATTGCGCTGATTACGTTTGTCGAATTCTCGTATCTCCTCAGTTTGCTCAACTTCGACTTCGTAGTAGGCGATCAAGAGATTGTTGGTCTTTTTGAAAATTTCTTCTTTGATGGCCATGATCTCATTCTTTGGAAACGTTTTGCGTTCCAACGTCTCGATCTGATGAATTATCGAATCCCGAAATTTCTCCATTTTTTTGTTGGGAAACAACGTGACTCGAGTGTTTGGCGGAAGCATCGTCTTTGCTCACCTCTCATCGAATTCGTTTGCGGCAGTTGCGATCACATGGACTCCAAATTTGATAGCCAATTTACCAATTTAATTTACTTGACAACTTTTTTTAAATACAGTATTGTTAAATTTTAATTTAGAAAAAACAATAAATTTTTTTTTTTTAAAGGTGTAGAAGCTGTCGATGCCTAAAAAACAGTAAACTTAAATTTATCAAAGATGAATAATAAATACAGTGTGAGTCAAAATTATTGGAAAATCACTGCGGCGAGATCTGTATAAATTAAACTAACCAAACTCAGACAGGAACG